TTTTTTTTTTCTTTTTATAGAGAATCAATAATGACTGAGGCCGGGGACATCGCAAATCTACGCGGAGAGTGCTGAGAGCATTACTCAGCTTAGCTTAGGGCGTAGTTCGGCACTCCTCGGGGCATCCTCGGGCTCCGAGGATGAATCCTCGGAAAAGTTTAGGTTTTTTGTTGTCTTTGTTGCACTCATCCTCGGAGCATCGGTTTTAGGACTCATCCTTGGAGCAATGTCAGAAAAATAAAAGGGAAAAAAAAGAAAAAAAGTTGTGCTTCAGGCTTTCAGCCAATAGGGTGCCACCACGATCAGAATTCTCGGTTGTATCATCTCTCTACGTGCATGCCCTCTCCTCTCCGTGAAACACGGATCCTCGGGCCCCAAAGGACCTCGCGAGGTCCTTTGGAGCCGAGGACTATTTGGCTGGGAAATCCTCGGAGCCCAAGGATTTGTCCTCGGAGTGTTTTCACATTTTGATTTCCGATTTCATCTCCGAGGACAGGTGGAACGACGACGGAATCCTCGGAATCGCGTCCCCGAGGAGTGTAGAACGACGCCCTTAGCAGGATAATATCCTGCAGGGGAAACAATCTGAAATTGTCTGAAATTGTCTGCAATTGTCTGAAATTGTGGAAAAACTTTGACTCTCTAATCCCAGACCACCAAAAGACCCTCCTTCAACAAGAATTCCCCATGGGAGGCCTGAAATGCGACTGAGGCCATTGATGATTTTTTTTCACCGTGGGCCGTGGTCCAGTCCGCGTGGGCGACGAGTTGCTTCCTGTGCAAGGCCGGGGGCCAAGTCCCACTAGCACGGGTTTGCTTTTCATTCCGGGACCGGTGCGGCAGGGTGCGGCGGGCCGCGGCGGAGTGCGACAGCATTCGATGCTTTTTGAAAAAATGTTGAAACACCTGTGGAGGGCCCTGCAATGATGAGAATTCTGGTATGTGTGGGGACTGCCTATTGTTGGGCCTCCCTCTGTGTCAAACTCCGGCGGTAGTGGAAAATGAGAATGAACAGTCATGGGAAGATACACAGCAGTTGAACCCCTCACCAGCGCATGTGGTGAGTGGCGAAGCCAGGTCCATCTAGCTGAAAATGAGAATGAATAGTCCTG